CGGCACGGAACGTGTTAAGAAAAGAAATTTTCACTGTCTCTCTCTGTTTTATCAAGCTACGTTGGATTTTGTATTGGACTTTTAAAGATAATTGAGTTTCAAATTATGGTTGCACGTGACATTCTAATTTTTATGTAAGTAGAGAGAATCAACACAGTATGGTAGAAAAAAATGATATATCGAACGCAGTTAGTTTTGATGTCAAGTTAGTTGTGTCACTTTCCTCGTTAGAAGGAACTGTACAAAATGGCCAAAGGCGTCGTGTCGTTCTGAGTAATTTCTCACAAGACAGAGGGCATCGAAACGACGATCCTAATTCAAAGGAAGTTACGCTTTGAGCCTGATAAAGCATCAGAGATATTGTGTACTTTGAATTAACGGGATTCAAACTGCTGAAACAATAGGATAATTGTCTAGCTATTAGTCAGAGATATTGTATCAAATGTTAGAATGAAACAGGTCTTTATTCGACTATTGAAATGATCTAATTTTGCGATATCGTAGATATCGTAGACATAAGTCTTGTTAGCATTAATAGTGTAATTAATAGAACAAAGCTGCCAATACGGGTTTTAATTTTCTTCAGTTTACCTGTCAGTTTCTGAAATTCAATTTATGAATTTAAATGCGATTTAAATTCATTTTATCGATTTCGAACACTTTTCACTGAGAAGCAATGGATTTGTCAGAGGATGGATAAAAATATTCCAAAATTTCACGACCCGTGAGTTTTCCCTTGCGTACCGAATGAAATTTTCCATTGCACGATCTCAAAATGTCGAAAAAATGTAGTTTGGCGAGAAAGCGAGTCTTTTTTGAGATACTGAAAATTGAAACACTAGATTCTCTTTCTTTCTAAAAATACCAGCTACCGTGAGTTTGGTTCAGCGATAGACTCTAATAGAATTTCAAAGTACACAACGTTATTACGTCCGACACAACTTGAATTCGATGGCCAAGGGCTGTGTTGCACAATTATCGACAGAGTCTGGCAACTGTGCGAGAAAGTATTCGAAATATCTTTGAATAGTTTCCCATTTTGTTTTAGTGTAGAATTGCAGTTCATGTTGCAAGTTATGTTCTGTTAAAAAATAAAAAAATTTCACCTTTTTCGACGAAACTACTTTGTATATTGTTATTCAAAATTGATCTGCGATTGAAGAATAACTTTATGATTTACCACGAGGCAGGAGTGCTTTTTAAAAAGACTAAGCTCCGCGTGAAATAATAAATAAACCGAATGATAAGTTTCGTACAATCTACCAGATGAATCTCTGAAAACGTTCCTTTCCCATGTCTGAACCATGTCGTGCATTCATAGAATACGCAGTTTTGCTATTTTCGTCGAAAATTTCGTTACGATGTCGTACAACTCAGGGAATGGGAGGATTAAAAATACAAACAGCATCCTTTCATACAATTGACCACGTACAGTAGTAGTTCTGAAGAGTATTCGAATGCGTGTTATGTAAGATATTTTGAAATTTAATTTAAAACATCTACGATAAGACATCATAAAATATATTCGTCTG